GTCACGCACGGAGAGGTACCCTCCGTGACATCATCGAGGCCGGCTGGATCAGGCATGATCACAGCCGTAACAAGGAAAAGTAAGCTGCGAGGGGCTGGACCCATCAGTGGGTCCACCAGCTCTACCCCTGTGCTTTCTAGTAGATACTGTAGTTTTTAAATTGCTGCCTTTTACTTTCCTCCGCATTACTTCAAAGTGCATTCGAACTTCGAGAATTGAGGCTCACGCATGTAAAACCTCAAACGCAGCATAAACCCGTCCCAGTTAACGCAGCTGGGTGGCGCTACTTTCACCGTTTATGCATGTATACGTTACATCATCATTATTTTTGTACGTTCTGTCGTATGTTTGCTTGTTACCTGCACTTCCATCCATTGAACAGTAACATAGTTATTTGGCTCCTAATAACACTAGAATCGTTACCTTACCTTTTGTACATCTAGCGTTAACAGTAAAGTCAGTTATACTACATTATTTTATATTCTATAGTTGATTGTTCCACTTCTGAGTAACTAAGCCCTTTTTGTTTCCCCTAACTCCCTTATTATTTGTTTGGATCCCCATCTAGTTCCCGCGCAAACTGATTTTATCTTGCTGTTTCTAAGCTGGGAAGATTAGCTTGTTAGTATACTATTGATATTTGTTTCTCATCTTCTCCAAGTATACAACCGCGCTACTTTTCTAACCACAGTCCTTGGTTATGCGCTCAAGTACAAAGGCACGAAGTAAAATTAATCAAATTAATCTGATCTAGAACTGTTTTAGGTATCTGGATTAGGATTACGCGAACTTTACAATCATCCTCCTCCTCCCCAGTATCCTCATTATCATCATCACCATCATCACCACATTGACCGTATGAGCTGAAAGGAGAAAAGGACAGTCATACCTTCATTTGGTACAAAGAGGTGTGAGTGGCCTGCCTTTTCCAGCACAAATGTAACCAGACGTTGAAGGTGCTGCTGCAATTGAAGGAGGGCCTTGAGGCGTTCCAACGCCTTTGGCCAAAAAGCAAGCAAAGTACGATCTGGTGGCACGCCGATGCTCCCTGAGGGGATGCCCACACCGGCCAGAAGACCGATCGTGGTGGCCAAATCAGTCTGGTCGGTTTTTTGGCTAAAGACATCTCCAGCGAGCTCACATGCCTATAAATAAAGGTTAACAGATGAGGACTTGAAGAAATTGCGGACGTTAGCAGAAGACAGAGAGAGGCAACAAACTCAGCCACCATTTTAACTGGAATCGCAGGCAACAATCAGTGAAAATTAAACTGTTGAGATGGCCGACAAAATAGTTGGAACTCTCTGTCTCCCTCTGTACTGTAGTTTACATTCCTGAACCATGCCTTAAACTTGGAAATCACAGTGCTGATTAAGGACACTCCTGCCAGCGTCGCGATCAAATATGGTAGACACAAGCGCTTCAACCGTGAATACGTTCGACTCAATTGGGGACATTAACTCCAACTTCATCGTCCTGAATCGTCGTCAGAAGTGACGCCGCTGACGTCTAAGGCAACTGGAGAAGTTAACAGTTGTGGGGTGGATGCTGAGTCAGAGCCTTTTTAGTAAATTAGAATGGAAATTTCTGTGTCAGACTCAACAAAAAGTGGTTACACTCAGAACGTCACCAATAGCACGACC